CCACCTATGCCGATGACACGTGCATCCTATCAGTTAATAACCATCCATCTATTGCATCCCAAACTCTTCAATCACACATCACAAGCCTTGAAAAATGGTGTCAAAACTGGAGGATTAAAATAAATTCCAATAAATCCCATCAAATAACCTTCACTCTTCGTCGTAAACCTATGACTTCCTGTCCTACAGTATCCTTCAACAATAGCCCTCTTATCCCTGTCGAACAAATCCGATACTTAGGACTCCACCTTGACAAACGACTCACTTGGAACCCCCATACCAGACTGAAATGACTAGAAACCGCTCGACGTTTTCGACTACTGCAGCACTTACTAGACAAACGATCTAAGCTTTCAATCAATTATAAACGACTCGTATATATGACAATAATAAGACCTATTTGGACTTACGGAATTGAGCTTTGGGGCTCCACTAAACCATCGAATTCCTCTCGTATCCAATCCTTACAATCCAAAATCCTTCGTAAAATCCTCAACGCTCCTTACTTTGTCACAAATAAAATCATCCATAAAGACCTTAATGTTCCATATGTTCCCGATTTGGCCCAATCCAGATACCTGTCCTTCCATAACAAACTGCAGAACCATCCGAATCCTCTTGTTTCAAACCTTGCTTCCTCCTCGATCCCTGATAACTCTCCGAGGCGTCTGAAAAGAAGATGGCCTCGGGATCTTCTAATATACAACTTTAATTTGAGTTTTACCAATGGGTAGTTTCTCTTCATGTTTTACATGTCATGTTACCAATTTCACATTTACTTATTGTATTTTCTATGTTAATCAGTTGTAAATTCCATTAAAATAATTTAAAAATTTTTTTTTTCTCTCTATGATGTCGTCTCTATTCCAACTCATCACTTGTCCTACCACTACGTCAATGTTATGCCCAGAAACCACTTTAGATCTTTAGGGCTCCAGGTCTACATAAAGACCGTGCAATACACGTAGCTAATGTGCTTGTCCACATTGATGGTAACTTTCCTCACCCACCACTCATAAATGTTCAGATGTTTTCTGAGCCTGAAACAGCCAGTGAGTACTCTACTGAGTAATCCGAGTTCGCTTCTCATGAAAGCAAGCCCCGACTTTATTCTAGAAATGTATTTTTTTTTTATTAATTGCCTGGTCAGTGTTATCCCAGCGCAATCTCTCCACTACTTACCAGTAATTTTCCATGTCAGCACAGACGACTTCGAGTGGGTGGAGAGTTTTCAGATTGACCCCTCCCTCCCCCCCAAAAATTGCTAATAATTTATTTTTATTGGTCTATTTCATTTATTTTGGTGATTTGATTCAATTACTTAAACAATTACACTATGTACACGTTTTTAATTATATCACATGTACTTCAGCTAAGAAATCTAACTAAGATTTATATTTATTTAGAGAACATTTTAGCACAATGTTAGTGTAATTTTGTTTGTAGATCTCATGGGTATTTCTTTTAATATTATAAAGATATAATAATATTATAAGGGTGAAGATCTTTGTCAGGATTTGCAGTCAAAATTTCTTTAAATAAACAAATTTAATTTAAAAAATAAACAAATTTAATTTTAAAAATAAACAAATTTTTACTGCAAATCCTGATAATTTATTTTCACCTTATAATCTTAACAGCTACTCATCCGTCTCTAAAATAACATTGCAACGAGTATTTACTTTTTAATTTTTATAACATGTTACAGAGAATTCGTTTGTTTTTACTAGTATTTCTTGTATTTCTCATAATAACATAATTATTAATAGAATCCTATAGAATGCCAGGTACACCAGAATGCGCAGTTGCATCTTGCAACAATAATCTAAGTGACGTGAAGTAGTTGGAAAAGAAAATTTCATTTCATACTTTTACAAAGGACGCTCGAAGAAAAGATTAGATTTTAAAATGTAAATATAAAAGTATTTTAAAAAAAAACAACAAATATTGTAAAAAAATTGACTAATCTTTTTCTTAGGAAACAAAATGTAGAAATTAATGAAGAACTGGTAAAGGCTTTCTTTCAGCAACGGGTATTTATTAGAATCAAATTTTTAAATACCCAAAGATTATTACAACAATTAAGAAAACATAAAATCAAAGTCAAAAAACTTGAGAAAAAAATCACTACATAGGATTACTTATTGCATAAAAAATAATATTTACAAAAATTCACGGCAAGAAAACACTTCTTTAATTTTAGATTAAATACCTTTTCTTTCTTTTATAATATTTCTATTATTTTATATTATGCTCTGTATTTATTTGAAATATTTAAAAAATATTATTGTAGTATTTTGCAATCAATCATACATCAACTTGTTAAATTACATTTTATTTGCTTCAGAATAAACCAAATATCAAATCTATCTTTCTCTCACCTTTCAAATTTATGAAAATGAATTTTGTCTTAATTTTGCTAAAGACAAAATCCTCTTGTCTTTAGCAAAATTAAGACGAGGTTAATATCCATCCTTAACTTTTCTTACACCTCTGAAGAAACTCCTGGAGTCCTGTGCATTGAAACTCTCTACTATTGCCTCTAATTTTTTATTGTCAGATCCTTTTCTTCTGACTGCATATCTTTTTGGCTTCTTTTCTCTTTTCTTTGAATTCTTGGGCAGCAGATCTGGTAAGTCGTTGAAGCATTCTCCTCTTTGCTTCATTCCTTGCATCTACCTGGGTCTTGCATTCTTCATCATACCAGTCATTTCTTGCTGGTTTTTGAACTTCACCAAGCTCTTCTGCCTCTGCGGTTGCAAGGGCTTCTTTCATCTTTGTCCACCTTGAGTCGATATTAAGTACTTCCTGGTGATTGGTGAGCTTCTCAGTAACATTGGTTACAAACCTCTGCCTCACGTTTTTTTCTTTAAGGCGCTCAACGGCAAATCGTGGCGCAGGTTCTCAGCTCATCCCCTGGTTCTTAACGCAATCTTTTGTCGGTATTTCACCCTCACCAAATGATGGTCTGAACCACAGACAGCCCCACGAAAACTTCTCATATCCGCTATGTCCGATGCGTGTCTTGCCTGGATCAGTACATGATCAATCTGGTTGCGTTTTTGCCCATCTGGAGATACCCAAGTCTCCTTGTGTATGTTCCTATGAGGGAAGTAAGTACTGCTGACTGACATGTTCCTTTCCATAGCGAAATCCACTGTTCTGAACCCATTGTCATTGGTTTCCTCATGCTTACTGTGGGGTTCTATGGTGGGCCTAAAGGAATTTTCCTTGCCTATTTTTGCGTTAAGATCGCCCATTATTATCTTCACATCATGACCAGGCATCAAGTAGTAGGTTCTCTCCAAGGCTTCGTAAAAAACGTCTTTTGTCTCTTCATCAGCATCTTCTATTGGGGCTTGCGCGCTAATGATTGAGATGTTAAAGAATCTCCCTTTTAATCTTATCGTGCATATTCTCTCGCTCACGGCTTCAAATTTCCGGACGGCATCTTTTTTTGTATTTCTTAACATGAACCCCGTCCCTATTTGGTTACGCCTGTGTCCGCTGTTGATAAGCAGATAATCACTTAGTTGGACCATTGGAGTATCCTTCAAACGTATCTCCTGAATAGCTGCCACATCCACGTCATACCGAAGCAACTCCGCCTCCAAATTACGACTCGCTCCAACCTGGAAGAGACTCTCACATTCCATGTCGCCAAAGTTAAGGATTTTCCTAGTCCACGCTTGGGCCGTACCAATAGATCAGTCCGGCTATGTTGCTGTTGATTATTCGTAACAATATCATTTTTTCCGGGACCGGGTTAGACCGATGCTCTACCCTCAACCTGGAGGACCAGTACGATTTTCTGCCTGGGCCCTCTTCCCGTAGACGGCTGTCTTCACTACGACTGTAGAATCACGTCCACCTTCGCAGTATGCCCTCAGTCCCATAGTACAAGTTTCCCTGGAGGCACTTCCCTTGTTTGAAAGGAGATGCCCTGCTGCCAACATCCCCCCCCCCATCCTGACAGGTCGGGACCCAGACCACCCTGAGAAGACCCCCTCTCTCGTTGGTCACCTACCCAGGTCCTCCGCAGGGATTGGTTACCACTACCTTGGACCCGAGTAGCTAGGTTTAATGGGGCTCACCGCGAGAATGTGAGAGTAGGAGTTCAGAAGAGCAGGCTACGTGGCCAGTTGTGTCCCATATTCCTTTACTTCCCCATTGGGGCCCCAATAAATTAAAAAAAAAACCATTAAAGCGGTTTTCGAGAAAATTGTAAAACCGATAATATAAAGTGGCACTTCTGGTTTGCCGATTTTGAGGAAAAATTGTTGTAACATTCCAGGCATGTAAAACCCTAAAATATGTAATATCAGTTGAGTACGACTTTTCGCTTTTGAGCTAGACTGTTCACATACGTACACAGACATCCTTACACACACACACACATACGCCGACTTATGGAAATTATCGGGAGGAAAGGGGATGGGGCGAACTATAAGATAACGGGGTAGGAGGGGTGTGGTATTTTTTGGGATATATAATATTTCCCAATATGCAATATATAATATATGCTTATATTCAAAATTGCCATCTCAGGCATTTATTGAGTTGTTTCAAGTCCTTCCTGATGACAAAATGTGTTGTCACGCCAAATACTTTAAACTAAAACAGTACAGTATTTTAATAGATGATTCCTTTTACAGATTAGGTGAGTTTATAAATCCAAAATACGACACAGCTAAACAAATTCCAATACACCTGCTGGTAGATAGATATAGTCCTTTGTAATGGAATTATAATGTACATGATCGATATGTTCATGAAGTTCAGACTACAGCAATTTTTTGGTGGCGGGGGGAGGGGGGGGGGAGGAATGAAACCCCGCAAGCACTTAGTAGTTGGCGTCTATGCCACACAGACCATTTTATGGGACTTGGTCATTTGGACTCAGGGGACCTCAAAACATGTATTTTATTTTAAAACTCAGATTAGAAAATTTTTCACGATAGCAATACTTTCCCTTATCATACATCACATATATAAGTAAATGAAAGTAAAAACAACTTAAGGTGATCTGAAGCTATCGTTTCGCTCAGTTTAGAGATGATCTAATGCCATTGATGAGCACAGCGTTGAATTTGAGAACTTGGCCATTTACTAACATAACCTTCTGCAGCTGGTTACTTAGCTTGGGTACAGTAACTGCCCAACTGTAAAGAGTTTTAGCTGAAATATATTTAATTGATTAATTGTTTAATTATTTAATTAAACAATTTTTGAAAGCTTATTATAATGGCTGATCAGGTGATGTATTTCCATTATTTTATGTTTTCTGATATGCTCACAAGTAATTGCCATTCTTATTTGTAAGATTTAATTGTAAGGGATCTATTAAGGCAAAACCAATGTTATTTCTAGTATGTTTTTGTAATTGAATGAATAATCTCCTTTCCTTTCGTTTTCCCTCTCTACATTTCAGACCAAATTAAAAGCTCAGTTGTTTAAAATTAAATTAATTTATTGAAAATAAATTTGTTATGTTCAATGTAACAACATTACATTTTAGATCTTAAATAACTTTAAACAAATTTTTTTTAAGGGAATTAAATTATTGCAATGAAAATTAAATAATGAAAGAAATTGAAATCTCCCAATTAATGCTCAAATTCAAATGTCTTTTTAAATTTAAATACTGATTTACTTACTCCATAATGGCAAAATATTATCTATTGTGATTTCATTACTAATATATTATATACATATATTACTGAAATAATTGTACTAACAACAGTTGTTTCTGTCCATTACAATAAATTGAAAGTCAGTGAAATACCTTACATTTTTGAAATAATATTTATCATTTTTCTTTCTACTATATGGATAATATTTTCTATACACATTTCTACAAGAAACCATCACTTTGTAGAAGATAATATCTCTTCGTATTAAATTAATATGCAATTTATTGGTACATAATGGTTAATATTTTTCATATAATCATTAAGATGGTTGGATTGTTAAATTAGTTGAGAGCAATAGGTCTTTAGCGATAGAAGTCTTTAGGTGATCTATGTATGTTTGGTTTTATAATTTTTAGTTTTATTAGTAGTCAGTATGGTGTTATGTGCCATCCTGCAGTAAAATGATGTCCCTTGAGAATTGTCAGATTTTGTACTGGTAAGTCATGTTTGTTTGATCCAAGAGAGTGCATTAGTAGGCAGTATTAACTGTTCTCTGTAGAACACTTTTTTAATTAATCTTGTCCTCAGCAACTGATTGTCCTCCATTTCTCATTATTCAAAAAAAGTTTTGTTCCAATAAAACTCTCTTTTTGATCGTTTCACCTGACTGTGCTCACAAGCTCCATAACATATAAGTAGGATGGACGTTTTTCTAGGTAAAAAACATAATTGTTATGTAATGTGCAACTGACATAAGTGTTTCATCATCATTACTGCTCTCCTACATGTTAAGAGGCTGGACCTGTCTTCACTCTTCTCTAGTTGAACCTCCAGCTCAACATTCTTTTATATTTTTATGGCACTCATAAAGCATTTCTTGGTAAATAATTATTTATTTATTGATTTTTTAAAAAACATTTTGCACTGAATATTAATTTTAAAAATGGTGAGTTAGATTTATTCTTTTAAATATATTAAAAGTATTTTTTTTAATCTTAAAAATAAAATATTGAAGATATCTGATAAAAATTAATCTAATTATAAATCTGTGTAACCCCCCCCCCCAATAAAAAAGTTGCTCTTTCCCTGTATTTGAGTCTAGAGGCTGTTTAGATTACAGAGTGGTTCAGATTCGCAGGTGTATAGTGTATGATTTAAATTGAATGACGTGAACCATATTTTGTGCCAGGATAATGATTATTGTTTATATACAACAGATATACAATTTCCTATACTTTAGTAATTAATTATTATATCATTCAATCATATTAATTCTTATTATTTTTTTGCAGACTGAGAGATCCTTTCAAAAACAGCAAACAATATTTTTAAATCGCAAAAAAGGATTAGGTGTTAAAAAGAAAAACTCTTTGCGATATATACGTAATGTTGGCTTAGGTTTTAAGACACCAAGGGAGGTGAGAATTAAAATGATACATTAAGTTTTTAGCATATTTATGAACTTTATTTTAGAATTCTTGCTGTATTATTGTTCACTGCATTTTTTTTTCTTTTAGTTTTTCAAATTTTTTTCTTCTATTCATATTTAAAATTTTATTTTCACTGTTTCTTTTATTAAAGTATCACTTTCTTTTAAGAAATTAGATTTCTGTTTTATTTGTTTTAATTTTTGTTTGTTTGTTTTGTTTTTGTTTTCCTTTAGTACAGGACTCCTTAAGTTTTACAAGAACATAAGTTTGTGAGTAATATGTGTATTTAGAGTTGTTATGTTGTATTATCTTCTTATGGAAACTCTCATGATGTTAAAAGTTGCGAGACACCTACTTTTTTTTTACAAATTTAGTTCAAATTGTGAGTATTATTTTGATAATTACTGTTTTAAAAATTAATCAGTTTATTTATTTTTTTAATGGTTTTAGTAATTAATATGCATTATAACAAATCAATTGACATTATTATTATTATTTTATGCAATAAATTTGTGGTATAGTGATTCTATTTTTTATTTTAAAGTATAGATGTATGTTCAGATGGTATGTCTTATTGTAATTAGTTTTTATAAAAGTGAGAAATAGGATTTATGTAGGCATTTCAGTTACCATCTAAATAAATAAATAGCTCTCCAGTTTGAAAACGAGTTGCCATGAACTATTATGTCCTGCCTAAGGCTATTCCCTAATTAGCAAAGCATAACACAAGTGGGTGATGTTGATGGATGCTGAATCAGACAATGAAAAAAATCTAGCATAAATAATATGGGTGAATTGAAGATGTAGTGATCGAGAGTGTTATGGCATTGCCTTAGCAACCTGAAATCAGAATTGAACCTCTGATTCATATATGGCCTGGGCGGGTTGAAATTTATTTTATATTTTACGACCAGAATGAATCACCTATATATTTCTCATTTTGGATATAACAGATTTATCACCGGTAAGATAACCCATCCTTCTTACCCTAGTTGGAGTGCATAATGACATTAAACTGCAATAAACGAACATTATAACTAGATGTCCTAATAGAAGTTTTAATGTTCAATTATAGAAATATATTAAATTAAAAGGATATCCAGCTGTTATTTTTGATTTTTCAGTCATACAATGGCCACCATGATGGCCACTCATACAATGCTTTACCAGTAGAGACTTAGGTTTTGATGTCCTCATACTGTCAACTTAAGGTTTCATTTTAGAGACATTTTCATTGCTATAGATCCATTAGCCCCAGGTAGCAGGTTGTTACAAATGATGTTATCAGGAAAAAAATAGCTGAGATTAAAACCTTTTTTCGTCCCTTCTCTACCTCACCTTTTAGGCTATACAGAGTTTTTCCTGGACCAACAGAGAGCGTGGGGGAATTATGCTGGAGTTAAAAGTTTATGCTCGGTTTATCCTCTGGATCCGGGCAACGTCTTAGCCCGTTATAACGTTAGTGTGTGTTATTTTACACACGTGTTTGTAAGTATCATAGTTTTTCTTATCCAGAAAACCTTTCGGTACTTTTTGTCTAGCAGGCCAGCACTGACTACTATCTGCCAATGTTTATAACCTGAACACTGATAATTCCAATAACGCAGTGATACGCCTTCTCCTACTTCCTATTTTCGTATTATTGTATTAAATTCGTATTATTGAATGTGTAAACAGATACAAAAACAAATGTAATAACAAAAAAATACTTTTATTTTACATCACATATATTAATGAAATAATAAAAAAACACTAAGAAGATATGTACATATAAAACATCAAAATGAAATAATAAAAAAACACTTGAAGAACAAATGTAGATGTAAAAGATGAAAATGAAATAATAAAAAAACACTTGAAGAACAAATGTAGATGTAAAAGATGAAAATGAAATAATAAAAAATATTTAAAGAACATATTTACATAGAAAAGAAAAAATATCAACACTATAAACAGCATATGTACAATTTATTTTCACTTTGTCTTATTTATTTTGGAAAGCAAAATTGTTTTATGCTATTTAAAATAGTGAGGAACGGGTCCTCTTCTCTGTGAACCCGCCACCACAAAAATTCGCACTAATATGAATCGAGGTGTTGTCTGGCAGTTCCTCTATATACTTTATTTCTCCACTTCGCTGAGCCCCATAATCGTTCTATGTGTTGAGTATGAACCCCAGCTGATGGATTGACAAAATTATACCGGTGATTCACTTGGAACTGGTCATAGTTTGCTTCGTTCAGTTGTCGGGTGTTGTATCCTTTCCAACAGTCCGAATAAATGGTCCTTCCCTCTTCTATATTGTCTTTGATTGCTTTTAATAAGGTTGTTTCTTTTCTGTCATTTATTTATTAAAACATTCATCTGTTTCTCGGCAAACTCCACCAAACATCCATTGCTGAGGTAAAACTGTCCCCACATGATTTTTTCGTTTAGAAAAAAGACTTTCCTCTACTTCAACCACTTTGCCAGGTTCTCCAATTTTTTTTCTTGGCCTGTATAACATGTCATGGGCACAAATCTCTCTTAGGCATTGGTTCCACGTTACCATAGCTCCGTAGGATAGTTTCAGCTGCTCTTTGCCCCACTTCATTGTTGTTAAGCAATGGGACCACCCATAAATCAATTTTAAAGCGGTTAAAAACGAAATCCTCGAGCCCTCCAATCATGTTCCTTTCCTTATTGAAAGTTTTGTGTCACAAGTCCTTCGACAGCACCTCCATTTGGCGTTCCTGGTTAACTTCATTCGATGACTTCTTCCACACAATTTCACGTCTGCAAGTATCCCAACATTTTGAAAATATTGAATTGCCTGTTCTTCTGAAGACGGCAAATCCCATATTCTAAGAAGATCCTTAATATGACAAAAATAAACGGAAAAAAGAATGAAAAATAAACACAAAGGGGCTACAAACTAAAAAAAAAAAGAAAAAGAAACACAAACAGGCCAAAAACTAAAAATAATGAAAAATAAGCACAGACGGGCCAAAAATAAAGAATTTAATAAGTGAACGTAATAAGGGAATAACTGAAAACTAAACAATGCAATAACTCAAAGGTTTGGCGGGATAAGAAGAGGGAGGTTATGTGATGTGACGTTAGGGGTGTTTAAGAGTGAGGTTTCGTGCCGGCCTGCTAGACAAAAAGTACCAACCTTTCTTACAAAATTTAAGTAAACAGAAGGCATTTTATGATTATTAAATATTTCTAAACAATTAACCATCAAACAAGAGCGTTGACAAAGGGGCCAAATCTTCAATAAACAGCAAATGTGATTCATTGGTTTCCATAAAAAATATCCATGTATTGTTGATCAAATATTCTGTTCAATTTATTGTAAGGTATAAAAATATATGATATGTACATCCTGACATGGTATACTGGTACCATTATCAAAATTATGGCAATATTTTGGCTGTAAAGAAAGGAGACCTAGGAAATTTATTATATTTTTTTTACTTCTTTTTTGGTATAGAAAATTCAGGCTGGCTCTTTTTAATCTATAATTTTTAAACAAGACAACCTCCAAGAACCATTCATTGTTCAAAATAGATGATTTTCATTAGAGAAAATTATAGTAGTAACATAGGCAGGAGGGTATTTAAAATGAAGTAAATAAAATAAACAGTGGATAAATAAAACGTGGTAATATAGTATATTTCTACATCCTAAAAAACATACTATGTTTGCCAACCCCTCACATTTAAGGATTTTCTACCATCTTGAAAAATTGTTTCCACATCCCGTTTTTTTTTTTTTAAATATCTGGTTTAGTCAATTATAGAAAAAAAAGTCTTAACAAAAATTACTATGGCTTAAATTCTTCATAACAATCGCTTCAAATATTTCTTTATAAAATAAATGTTTTTAGACTTAAGTGCCATCTTATATGTTGTGTATTTATAGAAAATGTATGAATGGCTCATTATCACCTGAAATTCTTATTGATTAATTATTAATATTACTGTCTTCTCTTCTTTTCTCCCCTCCATTATGCCTCAGAGTGTGGAGGTGTATCCTGCCACCACAACCAGACTTCCCGGTCTCTCGCAAGTGCCCTCATCTCTCCCACTGTCTTCCCTCTTGATTTTCCTAGCCTGGATTTGTGGTCTTCATAAGAAAGTTGATGTCTACCCTTAGGTCGGTCTTCATAGAAGCTTCTAAGTTTAAAATATTCTCCCATTCTGCAGACATGAAGATTCCACTTAAGCTGCCTTTTCTTCGAGTATTTATCCCAGTGATTCGACGTCTAACTCTTATCTAATTCTGTCATTTGTTACGCAATTTCGTTTGGTTTTTCCTTCCACTCTACGGAGATACCTCATTTCAGCTGTGGCGATTCTATTTTTATGTTTGTCTAGGGTTACCCAGCTTTCACTACCGTCGACCAAAATTGGAAGGTATAGTGCTTTATATATCCTTGCTTCATATTTATCATGTACACTGCTTTATATATATAATTTAATGTCCCTTCCTACTTCTCTCGTACAATGGAGTTGCAGATTTGGAAGTAAATATTATTTGCTTGCCTAATACTGTTGTTGACCTCATCATAGATTTTCCCATTTCTGCTAATTATAATACCCAGATATGTATAGTCATCAGTTTGTTCAAGTGACTGACCATTACGTATTATATTAATTGCCTGAGGCTTCCTTCCCGGATGCAGTACTTTATTTTTATTCGTATTGATGGAGAGGCCTTTTCTTCCTAATTCCTCTTGTCATTTATGTATAGCTTGCTGTAGTTTCTGCTGATAGTCAGCCACATACAAATAGGCCTGGACTTGAACATGTCTAGAATTCTGTAATCCAAATATGCTTATTTCTGTTCTTGTTTTTCATATTTTATGTATTTCGTCCATGAAATTTATGAACAGCAAAGGACTTAAGCTATATCCCTGCTTCGCTCCCTGTTCCATGGCAAAAGGTCTGGATTCCACCCTATTTATTCTAACGATATATTTTAGATTTTGATACATTGATTTTACTACATATAATATAACATTGATATAACTACATGAGGTCTCTTGTAATATTCTTAGCCTCTAGTGCTCTCCATAGTTCATACCTTGAGACCGAGTCAAATGCAGCTTTTATGATACATGATCAATGCAGAAGTGCGATGAAAATATTTCCATTTCTCTCTCAGGTTTTCTTCATTAAAGCATATGGAAATATGTGGTCCTGGGTCTGTCTACCCGCCCTGAATGCAGCCTGTTCATCCTCAAGTACCGGTCAATGTATGGCTTAAGCCTACACTCTAGTATGGTCGTATAAAGCTTGTATACTACAGGGGATAGACAGATAGATCTGTAATTTATACATTCTCTCATACTTTCCTTATTATGGATGGGTGGTTCAGGTTATATTATATTCCTATGGTGATCTTTCCTCATCACACAGTTTCTGAAACAGAGACTTTAGGACTTTAGTGAGCTGTGGACCACCATAGTAGTTCTGGTGATATCCCATCTCTTACTGTGGCTTCACCAGTTTCAAGAGAAAGTTTCGCTTCGTCCTCTCATATCATTTCATCATTGGCGGTGTCATCAATTGGTTTTTAATTTAGTTTTAAAGATTGATAACAGTGATTGAGAGTTCTTAATTTAATAATTCAAGGATTGTGGTTTTAACCCATTTTTTGTCATTGACGCAACAGTTGCTTTTTGGTTTGTATTTTCTGAATAGCTGTTGCTGTAATTTTGGTACTGAATAGGTCAAATGTTGTTTAGAAATAAAAATTTAAATATTTGTCCTATTTAAACTATTTTAAAAATTGTATTATTTATTTTGCTAATTACATTCTGTTTAAACTTTTGGTTCATTAAAATTAAATAACTTAGATACTATCCTATTATTCCTTCAGTTTTGCTCTTCTTTAATATTTTACTAAACATTTGGTGAATTGCATGTTATCGATTCTTGCTTGTTGGTGAATCCAAGACATAGGATCATTAATTTTTCCTTATGACTAGTGATAAATAATTTTCTTACTGTATTTATTTAATGATAAATTTTGTAATTTTCATCAGGCCATCGAAGGAACATATATTGACAAAAAATGTCCATTTACTGGAAACATAAGTATCAGAGGAAGGATTCTTACAGGTGTTGTTAGAAAAATGAAAATGCAGAGAACTATAGTTATAAGAAGAGATTACCTCCACTATGTTAAGAAATACAATAGATTTGAAAAAAGACACAAAAATTTGTCTGTACATCTTTCTCCATGTTTCAGGTATCAAGCTATTTTTCTGTTATATATGACAGTTTATTATACATATAGTATATTACCAAACACAATAATATCACTAGCTTAGAAAAAAAATGGCACAACTCATAACTTTAAAATTTTTAAATGTGTCATAACAATAATTATGCAGTTATTAATTGTTTTATGATTAAGAAAAAGTGGCAAATCCTCAATATTTGAATTATCCTGGTTTTCTTCTAAAGTAACAATACATTAATATGTATATATTCACATATAAACTTGAAAAGATCTATTACAAGTTAAGTTTTGAGTTTTGTCTGTCTTCTTTCAAGCTGGTGATATATAGTGGAGATTATTAAGACTTCAGGGATGTTTTTAGAAGATGGTAAAATTAGAATTTGTACTTATATGGTTTTCTTTTGGAGTATTGGGTCTTGAGTGGTTTTCGGATATTGGTAGGTTTCAGATTTGTTGAATTTTATCGTTTTGAAGAAATCATACAGCCTGCAAAACTCTTTTTACCTGTAGAAGAGTTATGAATTTTGTGTTCTCATAATTAATGTGAAAATATATATTCAGAACATAAGAATGATACTCATTAGAAAAGAAGTCATGGAAGTGAAATTAACTCTGGAAATAATTTCAGTGATGTGATCAAAAAATAATAATGAATGATAAAAAAGAGTACTATGGGCTTGTGAACTTGGCTCTTCTCTCTAAATACATAAAATTTAAATATCCATAGATCACTTATTCTAGTTTGCTATGGTGCTGAAACATGGACACTTAAATATAGAAACCAACAGATTCGTAGTCCTCAAGCGGAAAATAATGAGACAGATTTTTGGTGCAATCTGCAGACAAGGAACCTGGTGTATTAGAAATAATCACAAGGATATTTTGAGGTTTATCTTATTTATGTATATTAGAAATGATCACAAGGATATTGTGAGATTTATCAAGTTGAGAATAATAAGCTGGCTTGGACATGTTGAAAGGTTATACAATGAGTGACTGGTGAAGGTTGCAAGAGAATCCTTCCTTTCTAGAAAAGAAGAAGAGAGGACACTCTAGGAAAAACTGCCAATAGAATCTGGAGGAGGATCTCTGGAGAATTAGAATAACTGATTGGAGAAAAAAGACCCAGGTTAGATAGGAATGGGGAGTGAAATGTTCAAACCTTGGACTATAGAGCCACATAAGTAAGTAAAACTCAAACTATTACATCAGTTGTTTAAAAAGATTTGTAAGAATGATAAAATACCTGAAGAATGGAAAGAATCTGTTGTTAGAGGCTGCAGGATTGATTATATTGTGATAGGAATACAATATAACAATGTTCTAAAGTTTGAAAAAATTCAGAACTATGACCCAAAATCTTTCTAAATTTGACTTGACTAATTTTCTAGTTAGCTTTTCTACTGTTAGTTTGCTTATCAGCTATTGAGCGATGATTTATAAGCATTGCTTTATTTTTCATGGTGTTTCACTTGATCTTGCTATCACACTTTATCAATTTCAGAAATGATTCGAAATTAGCTGTTAAAAATATTACACTGTTTAATCAAGTTGATCCTTATTATTATTATTTTTTTTTTTTAACAGAGATGTTGAAATTGGCGATGTTGTCACTGTTGGGGAATGTAGACCTTTGAGTAAAACAGTAAGGTTCAATGTTCTTAAAGTCACTAAAGGAACAGGTGCAAAAAAGGCTTTTAAGAAATTTTAAATAGAATCATGGCTGCTGAATTATATTATCCTATCAGGAAACTTTGTGTGTATTTGAATCATTAATGCTAAATTTTACAGATTGTATTTGAAACTTAACTGTTAGTATAAGAATTATGTGCCATTATCTCTTGAGTTCTTAAAATAAAACAGGTTTGTTCCTAAATCTTATTTTATTTGACCATGTTCCCTTTTGACTCGAAGTTGTCTAATTTTTTTATATACAAGATGTTAACTTAAATAGGCTCCTTTAAACTTAATCAATCTTATTTTAAAAGGGTTTTTAAATGACAAATAATTTAAAAATACCAGCATTAATACTCCTTGTATTGAAATAAATCACAATTTGTACACATAACATTAAATTTTTCAAGTTATAAGAAAGTCTAAACATGGGAAACTCATGATGGTTAATCATATTTTACTTTTTTATTTTTAATAATATTCTTTTGTTGAGATGAAGCGGGGAATTAGTTTATTAATCTTCAATTGTTCTTTATTACTTGGGCTCTCTAAATTCAGTATAAGTATAAACTTAAAGTACTTTAAATTGAATTGCCACAATAGTTGTATGATCATACTGAAAGATTTTTCTATTATTTATACAGATATGTTAAATTTGGGAAAAAGCATTAAGCTGTAGTTCGTTCAGAACTGAAAGAAACCACAGCGGTGTGCTCTGTATCATTAAGGTCACCCATTTAACTACATGGGGTTCTAAATTCCTGAAACCTACAAAAAAAAAAAAAATTTTCATCAACTCATTGTCCTGACCAATTCATCATTAATACTTTTCAGTTCTTTTCTCAATTTTTAGAACATTTTATTCTTCTGAGTGCAGGATTGAACCTCAAGCATTATAATGTAGAGATGGTTGACTGTGATATAATATGAGAAGGAGTTGGGTGGGATCAAATAAATACTAAATTTTAAAAATTAGTATTTTTAATTATTATGCTGACGTTTCGACCCACTTTGCATGTCTCCATCAGGGCTACAAAAGATACAAAATATAAAAGGTACATGGTGAAAATAAAATAAATGAATTATAAGTAGATATTAAATAAGAAATAGTTGTCTGATAAAGAAATAATAAGATGACATCAGAGATATAGTGGGTGACAATTTAGTTGATATTTTAACTAAATAAATAATAATTAAAATAAATTAATAATTAAAGATACTAATTTTTAAAATTTAGTATTTATTTGACAGCAAATAAATACTAAATAGCCCCCGACCAACTCCCAACCAACTCTCAAGCATTATAAATGGAATACATGTGCACATGAACATAATGAAACTTACTTGGCTCCCCATGGACTTGAATTCTGGGGACATATTTTATCTTTTCATTCATAAGTTCTCTGAATTATTTTAAATTCTCAAATTGTGACAATATTTTATATAATAATTAATATTAATTTAAACCTGAACTAACTTTAATAGAAGCTGTTCAAAACTCACAGAAGGCATATGGGCCAGGGGTGCCCAGAAGAGGGTTTCATAGCGCAAGATGCGCTATCGAAGTTTTTGAGGGGGCCACATTTTGACTGAGTTATGAATTTTCGTAGTGAAAAGTTTCAAAATAGAGAACTAGGGGGAAAACAAGGGACAAACGTACCAAGTGTTATTGTTTATGATCCACGATTTTTCTAATTCTACTTTCACTTGAACTGTTTTTAAGAAAAGGAGGGTAATGCAATTTTTGGAGAGGAGGGGGAGTGATTCATGTGCCATCGACCTTGGGAGGGATGGGCACCCCGGGTATGGGCTTCTCTTATGGTATTTCTAATAACCTCAATGATCAAGAATCTGTGCATGCTATATTTATGCTCTTGTTTGTATATGTATATATTTATACAGATATGGGATTATAAAAATTTTGAATCTTCTACTACATAGATATCCAAAAATATTAGCACTACAGATAATTAAAAAATAATTCATGTGGTGTAGGGACTTACTTAATCTGATAGAATTGCATGGGTTAAATTTCAACTTAAATCACTCTAACTGTGATGATGTTAAACTATGGAGGGTTAATTTATCTTTACTAAGAATTCAAATTCAGAAAGATATATATAATCAATATGCAATTAAACTTTAGAATTCTAAAACTTTCACTTTTTATCTTCATTTAACTTCATTAAATTACATTGATGACAAAAGCTCATTGAAGGTGATCAGATGGGTAATTAAAATCAGGGGTGATGGTTTGAACTTAAATTATAAACACTTCAAGCAAACAAATAATATTTGTAGCATGTGTAATATAAACAAAACAGAAGATCTCTATCACTTCCTGGCTGCTTGTCCGATACTCTTTGAATTTAGAATTAAATGGTTAAAATCTAGAAATTTGTCTCTGGATCAAGTAATAGATTTAATAAATGGAAAAAATTGGATAGCATTTGTAAATTACTGCAAGTCTGCTTTCTCCTATAGAATAATGCTCACCAGAGAATTAAACAATTAATAAATTGGAGAATGTAGGTGCTGCTACTTTTGTAATTAAAATATTTATATAGATTTTGCATTGTAAATATCATTTTCTTATTTTTTTATTAATTAGTTATATATAAATAGATTGAAATATAATTTTGTTATGAAACACAGACTCCACTGACGGTCAACAGACCATGTAGCATGTCTGATTTTCGGTTTAAAAATGTGTATTGTTTTGCAATTAATATTATGTAATTTTGACAAATAAAATGACTTTTTCTTCTATATACTTGTATGGGTATTACTATATGGGAACGGTCTGGCAGCTCTGATTAAGTCGCATGTAAAATCGTACTAGCCTACATACTCTAAGGTTCGAACCAGTATCTGTATTCCACAAGCAATATTAAAAAAAAAAAAAAAAAAAAAGAAGCTATGTTCAAATAAATTTGGTTTCCCTCTTATCCTTGGGCATAGGGACATTTCAGCCTATTGTAGGCACTCTCATGGACTTGGCGTAAGAGTGATGACCTTACCTTGTGTACCTTATAGAAAATTTCATTACAGTTTTTGTAGGACATCAGTTTGGTCTGTGGACAGTCGATTTTAGAAATATAGGTCCTCATGTGCCTACTGACCTTTAGCAGCAATAATCCATGGATTTAAACCGATGTGTCTTTATTCTTGAATCCGAGAATCAGCTTAAAGGACACTGCTTAATTGGCCCCAAAGAGATCAATTATGAAGCTATGCGTACCTTGCCATTGCACCATGAAAAGAGAGGATGAGTAACTTCCTCCAGGCTCTGTGTTCTCACGAGCAATGTATTACAAAGTGCACCTTACCTCCCAACTATGTACCTCTCCCTTCCTGCACATTCCTGTGAATACCACATTGCTGTTTTCCTTGCAAATAGCAATTTAAAAAATCCATTGTTCTCAGCATAAAAAAGTGGACAAACTGTCTCTAAACCGCATCTGAACATGACAGGCTAAAGTCAAATGATAAAGTTAATTGATCACTGACATTCAGATTTTCGCTTTACCTCCTCATAATTGGGCTTTTATTAAAGCTAGATAATCAGAGAATGATATATGATAAAAAATAATTAGCACAGGAATTAAAAAACACGTAGTCAATTTTTTCTATTCGTTCACATGAAATTGAAAATCATGTACCGTTTGCAATTAAACTACCAATAGTACAGAAAAAAGTATAGAAATAAAATATGTGTAGAAGTAATTTATTTTTATAAATCTCTGCTTACTTTATAAAATATTTGAAATGGTTTCTTAGAAAACGCACTTAATTAGGGGAAAAGTGGTACTGATGTAAGCACATTCAGTCTTTGCCACATCATTATCTACTCATAAGTGATAAAATTATAATGTTATTGAAACGTTTTTGGTGTTTTATTTTGATACTATTAACAAGTTCTTAATTTAATAGCCCGAAATAATTATACAATGTTTTTTTTTTTTTTTTGGGTCTATTATAAAGAATAATGTAATCATAATAATAAATCTTAATTCAGTAATAGATAAATGAATATCTTTAATATGAATTTCATTCTATTGATTTTTTTTTTTATATATATAAGCATCCAACGATGGTTGCCTTTCACGTCAGGGCTGAGCTCCAGAGGTCGCGGTCAAGTCAATTCTCATCCTGAAGACCCCGGCCAGTCATCTCCTCTTCTGCTTCATGTATCCATCTTTTCCTGGGTCGTCCTCACCTCCATCTTCCCGGCATTTGCCAATCTAGGATTCGGTTCCATTAATGAATTTGTAAAAAATCTTCTGATTTGTTTTCGAGTTTTCCATCATTATGAGCCATTTCCCAAATTATTTTCATGATTTTCGGTTACCTAGAAGAACATTTAGCTTCGCCTCTTTCCATCTCTCCTAGTACCTTTGATGGGTATTAGGTGTTCTTACAGGTAAACTGAATGAAGGAAGCATTTATTATTAAAATTGTATAATTTTTTACGACTAGACCCATCCTCAGTAAAGATTAAAGGAAATAATAAAAAATAAAATAAAACATGAATTTTTGATTATTGAATTATTTTGGACAATTAAATCATGGGCTTTTTAATACGACCATAAAAACATTTCTGTAGAATTGTAACTAAACTATTTATGACTACTCAATGATGTGGCAGAAGACTGAAGGTGCTTACACCAATGTCACTTTTCCTCCAATTAATTGCATTTTCTAAGAAACCATTTCAGATATTTTAAAATGTAATCAGTAATTTATAAAGAGAAATGGCTTCTACAGATATTTTATTTCATTTTTTTTTTTTTTTTTTGAATTATTGGGTGTTTAATTCTAAGGGTAGTTAACTTTTGCATAATACTTTTTACATGATTGATTTTTTTAGAATTAACCTCTTATTTTCTTTTTTAATACTTGAATGGCCAAATGTTTAACAAAATATATATTACTGTATTACAATTGTTTTATAGATAAAAATAATCTTCAAGTAATTATATTTCTACAGAATGTGAAAAATACAAAAACATCACACTAAATTTATCTATTTTATTAAGTATATAATCAGTTACAGTTCTATGCATTCTACTATATCCACTTATGAATTACACTTGTTTATAAATGATGTTGCTTCTTATTTTTTTTTAGGCATTATTGAGTACTCCAAATATTCAATTTTATTAACATTCTGATTTAGAACATTGTCGGATAATTTAAACCATATTGGAAAAGAAGTGCTGATGGTGTACGTAAAGGAATTAATCTTTTATCTCCTTCTTTCGCAGTAATCATGAAGTATTCTCTTCCATTTATTTTTGTTTGTACTTGGTTCTGTATTGCAGTAGTTTTTTCAAATTCATTGGTGATTACAAATTTATTGTAATTATTTTTTAATCTTTGTGATTTATTTGATTTACTATTGAAACTCTTAGTTGCACAGTATGTCCAAAGCAATTCAATGCAAAAAACAACCAGTGCACCGGAAAACCCTGCTAATACAACAATATATGTAGTAAATAGGTCTGTATTTCTTAACTTCCTTTCTTTATTACCAAGGTTAAGTGGACAAATTGTTGTATCTGGAAGATCTTCATTCAGCAAATGTTTCAATATTCCAGATTCAACGAAGACTTGAACTCTGAAATATAATTTGTGTTATTGAAAAAAGGAAATTGGAAATTTAAAACTAAAGAATAACCTAATAAGTTTTTATATTGCCTCAGTTATAATCAAATAAGTGTTTTAGTTTACATTCTTGACCTTTTATAACATTCTATTTCTATTTCAATTTTCTGGACATAACTGTAAGTGCTCTATTATTTGAAGACCTATGATGGTTTCCTCAGTTATTAAATTTAAATCTTTGCTCATTATTACTAATTTCGTTTGTTGTAACAGATTATGATATTACTCAATCAAAGCTTTATTATTTCAGAAAGTTGCTTGTATTTTACAAAATTAAAACCACATGACTTTAAAGCTTTTACGTTGTGTTTCTAAGGGTTAACAATCTTGCGTTTTGGCATCTTGCTATCAATAATCTAAAAATAAAACCTGGCCAGCTGGGTCAGACCGGGTTATCATGAAATGAAATATAATAATTAAATATATAAAATAAACTTACATAGGGTTAAACAGCTCTGGTAAACTACTTCCTTTTGGATAGGCAAAGGCCAATGATCTCACAAGAAAAGGATACTGTGTTAAAGCAAATGTGCACCTTTTATTTTCATCTTCTCCCTCAATAGTTTTTTTTTTGTAGTCATCATACATAAGTCTATTTAGTGTATCAGATGTATCCAAGTATAACCAACCTAAAAAAAGTATAGATGAGATCATCATCATCATAACATCTCATCTCATATACATATATATATATATATATATATATATATATATATATATATATAGAGTGTTTCAGGGTTAAGTAGCCAAACTACAAAAATGAACTAAGGACCTCAAAACAAGAAAAAAATTTCCTTTGCAGGTATGTCCGCAAACGCTTTGCCCAAATGTAAACATCCAGGAGATATTTACACCTAAAGATTTTCTTTATTATGAATTATTTACATTATATGAAATAATTAAAACCTATTTATTTGTTCTAACTACTTTATTAATTAAATATTAACATTCATATTAAATGTTGCTTAAAGTGATTTACTTGAGCATTAAGACAGGCTCGTCATCTTTCTTCAACAGCAGCAGTGGCAGAACACCCCTGGATATGTGTTATCACAAGATTCAATCATCCTTCTTTGAAAGGAATTAAGGTAATTAACCAGACTTGCATTGATATATTTTTTTTAATGTTCCCCCAAACAAAAAAATCCAGTGGTGTCAGGTCTGGAGTTTTGAACAACATTTATTATGAACGTTAATATTTACATTTAATTAATAAAGTAGCTAGAACAAATAAATAGGTATTTCATATAACGTAGATAATTCATAACAACGAAAATCTTTAAGTGTGAAGATCTCCTAAACAAAACGTTTGCGTACATACCTTCAGAGGAAGTTTTTTTTTCTTGTGTTGAGGTTCTTAGTTCATTTTTGTAGTTTGGCCACTTAAACCTGAAACACCGTTTATATAAAATGTGTGTGTATGTATAAATATTTCTATTGATTATCATATAATTTGTGTTTGCTTTTATCTATAATCAATTATGAATACCATCATATAGCAGTTCTAATACATGACTTTCACTACTTGTATCTATGAATCTTCCATTTCCTCTCCTAACTGATGATAGAAGAATGTTTAAATCACCATCATCTTTATTCTGAAATCGTAAAAGTAAAGAATTAAAATTAAGTATACATTTTTAATTACATACCATGTAGGTGATGAGTAAGTGAATAGTGTAATAGATTATTTCCTATTCACCAAGGAACTGAGAATATATTTTTTGGATGTATAGGCCATCTAAAAAGCTGACATTGGCAGTGATCACATGATCTTAAGGAGATACTGGAAGTATGGTGTGGGTATTTCATGAAATAGTTTGGGGAGCAGCAATGCACTAGGTCTCTTGAAGAAGAGAATGAAAGATAAAGAGGGGCAGGAAAATGATGCAATTGAGGAAAAAGAGGAGGAGATCGCTATATCTAAACTAAAAATCGGGAAAGCAGCAAGGCGAGATCAAGTAGCCTCTGAATTCATTAAGTATGGAGGAAATGAACTCATAAAAGTTGAACTATGATAATTCTCCACAAAATATCCTAATATAGTCTGGTTCTTGTCATATATCCTATCTAAGAATATTACATTGACACTACTGATACAATATATTCATAGCACCAATGAAATATCTGAAACAAATACCTAATTAATGTTATCTATAGAAGCTTTTTTGTTTCATTAACTTGCAAAGCAACATATTATCTTTGCGCTAAAAGTGACATTTTGTAGCCTGAAACTGCTATACATAGTCTGCTAAATAGAAAAATAGCAGAGGGATATAAAATATGAAATTATACTAACCAAGCATAAAGAAATGATCGGTTTTTATGATGCTCTTCTTTAAGAAAATTCAATTTTTACATAGGGACTTTTGCACTAACAGTAGCGATATGACAATACTAAAAAATATATAAAAAGTGGTAGGTTGGTAAAAACATAGTATTAGAATGGTTTTACATGACAATATTAATAAAGATACTATATTTTATATTTCTATTGGCTTACCTTAATAGCATATTCCACTGAGCTGCCTTGGGTCGTAAACCATTTGTGTGGTGGTTTAGCGACATCCTCAACTTCTTTAATTGGTAGAGTAAATAAAGATAATGTGAGAAACGCAGTTAGATTAGCGGTGTAAAATGCTGTTAGTATCAGAATGAAAATCCACCATGTAGCGAATAAGAGTCGAGCCGAATCTGAAATTTGAACATAAATTGTATTGCATGATGTTGAGGAATGCAATAAAGTGATTTGAACCCTTCAATATTTTAAGATAAATCAAGCTCTGTGTATATGGTTATTGAAATTATTTTCTTTCAAAGTTTATGATTTTTTGAATTTAAATAGTTTTTTAATGCTGGAGAGCTTGTTGACAGAAGATCGATGAGTTAAGCCCGGAGTCACACGATGCCCTAAGTGCTATGAACGTTCGCGCTGCAGGGCTCTTAGGGCATCGTGTGACCGTGTTGGGAATGGCGAGTCGCGAATGTGAAGTGAAGAATGTTCGTACATTGCCCCGGTTACACAATGTCTTTTCTTGTCACACGATGCCCTAAATGTTCAGGGCATGGAGTTCACCTCATGGCCCAATGACGAATATTCACGCTCACAGCATGCCCCACCAGGTATGGGACATGCTGTGAACGTGTATGGGACATTTGAGGACATGCATTAAAATTTATAAGTTTTAATTACTTTATTTCATTTATCGTTCCTTATGGTGTAGAATAATTAATAAATTCAACTGTATTTTAATTATAGTCCAATAAAATATCTTTAATTTAAAAAGCAAAAAAAAAAAATGCTTCCATTACAAAAAACATTTGTTTAACTTTACATAAATTATAGCTTGATTGTTATTATACGTAACTATATGCGCACGTAATTATGCAGTAAAAGTGAGTACAATTAAAGCAAACTGAATAAAAACAAAAAATTTAAAAAAACGAAAAATGCCTCAACAAAATCATGAATAAATCCTAGTTTACCATAGAACTTAAATGGAAGTCTTGGGCCAGCAAATGAAAAAATAAAAATAATAAACCCTGGACTTGAGCTCACTAACTAAATTAATAAATACGCGTATAAATTACAAAATAGTTGAGGGCGGATAGACAATTTTTTTTCTGTACTCGGTTTCCTGATCCTGTGTATATTTTGAAGCCTTGTTAAATTACAAAAAATCATTATTATTGAAAATAATATATCAGAAAAATATTAAAGTAACATTTTTTCATATCTTAATTTATTAAGAAATAATAAATTTTGCCTCAATTAATGGCATTGAGTATTAAAGCGAGGGAGAGGGAGAGGGAGAGGGGAAGGGGGAGAGGGAGAGGGAGAGGGGGAGGGGGAGAGGGTGAGGGAGAGAGAGAGAGAGTGAGAGAGAGAGAGAAGTTTTAGAATAAAACACTACAGCATTAATTTGGGAATTATTAATAATAATTACAATATTTCTCCAATTCTTCTTCGGTGCATACTATTTATTTTCAAGTTAATTTATTTTCAGCCATTTTACACCAATTTTAAAAATTTTTTGTCAACTTAATGACTACACATTACATGAGTAGACGCATGCAATTCGCATAAGTTGAAAAGGACAGGTACATGATTGGTATTTTAGGTATATAAAATGAATCTCTATATGTTGATGTATGTAATGTTTTAAATATGACTGTAAATTTTAAAAAATTTTTAGACTTGAAAATGCCTCAACGAGCCGAAACTTTGTAATCAGATCTGTAGTCATTAAGTTGACAAAAAATTTTGAAAATTGGTGTAAAATGGCTGAAAATAAATTAACTTGAAAATTACTAATAATTATTAAGATAAGAAACTTTGATGCATAACATAAATATTACATCAATAGTACATTATATCTGTTCACACAGGAACAGTATGATCATACGATCAAAGGTAATTGTTTTAAAACAAAATTTAGAAACAAATTAATTATTAAACTCAAGGGTGAACTGCAAAGTTAAATTATTAGAGAATATATTAATGGACCACTAAAAATAAATGATTTTTATACTGAAAATTAACAAAACAGGCCTACATTTATTTTTAAAACCGTAGATTACAGAGAGAATTTTTTGTGTGTATATTTACTATATTTTACTATACCATATTTACTACTGCAGATTAACCATATATTTCTGTCAAGATGTATTTACCATCTACTGAATAATAAAGACATATGCTATTAAGAAGGGGAAAAATACAAAACAATATTGCAACTGAAAAAAATAAAAGGTGATAAAAAAAAAAAATCACAAATAATTTATGACTCTTTTGAAACGTAACTTAGCTGAGTTTGTCCGCTAAATAGTCCTCTTTAAATGGTTTTAACAATTACAAAATCTATTTTCAGTTGAATTAAATCTTGTCTAGTTGAGGGTGAAACAATTGCTAATTACATAAATTAAATATTTCTTTATTCATATTCAACAAAAGACACGACTTACTTAAAAAACACGAAATTTAAATTTTCTACTTTTCTGCCATAAATAAGACCAATGTTCATTCTATTTTTTTGTAGCTCTTAAAGTATACTAGTTCTCCTGTAAATTGTATTGTGCGGTGTATTTCCTTCTATTTACAAGACACCCTGTATAATATAGATACCGTTTAGTAAGTTAGCAATTACTATATTTAAAAGAAAACGAAATTTGAATGTATTTTATAGGGCTATTAATTCAATAAACTAAATTCAGAAGATTGTTATATTTATAGCAATGAAGAAAACCAACACAATTCTAAAACAGCTTTTAATAGATTGGTATATTTGAGAGTTTAGGTATATGTATTAATACATATTTATAAATAGATAATATATAAGAAGTATAAAATAATTCATAAATTTCCAATTTTCCAATATGCGTTACCATAATCAACAAGACTTTTTGATTACGCAAAAATATCAAATATTTGAGTACTACCGGTCATCATCCATGCTCGAGGTATGCTGAAGCCATTAAGTATTAATAGCAAAGCTGTTTATTTTATATTTTTTTTTATTTAGAGGAGAATCCATTATGTTTTTCATTAATACTATATTTGGATTTACTTAATTTTAAGTTTATACTAAATTCGTTCTTCATCCTCTAGTTGAATATTTCTACATCTAAAAGGGTTCAAAAGCTAAGGGAACCATTTTTTTTTTAATTAACTTTAATAAAAATTAACATAAAATAGAAACCTAGTATTACTTAAATTAGTTGAAAAGAAATTCATGAATAAAATAATTTAAAACGGTGCTAAAAGTATCTGTACAATGTTTTAAAAATTACTGTTAAATAATTTAAAAAAATAAAAATTAGTGGAAAAATTATTATGGTTCAACTGTTATTAATATAAGGAGTAACTTTTAAATGTTAAATTTTATAAGAATTTAAAATATGACAGTATGACATATAAATAATTTGCAATGGAAGGATTTGAATATTGTTTTTTTTTTCAATTTGTATGAAAAAAAAAAAGATGGCAATTAGCTTGTTTTTGTGGCGGCACCAGATTCTACAAAGAGCTTCAGATTTAGTACAACGAGTTTGCCTTCCCGCTACCAGGGACCGCCCTTCAAGCTCGCCCGTGCAACATACTAAAAATTGTATCTTTTATTTCTTATTGTTGTATTATAAAGTACTTAAATTGTAAATTGAAATATGCATATTCATTGTAAATACTTTTTATTAATAAAGGTTAATGGCGATAACATACACTGATCAAAGCTCAAAAATAACTGTTATTGTAACGGCTCTTGGTAGCCGGTTTAGTCTTGGTGGGATAAATACCGCAGTCGAACCTTCAGTTGTTAGGTATCAGGATTTTCATCCCTTCAGGGTGTAGAGCCTTATGCAGATGGTCAGTATATGTCTCATATACGCTTTTGGTTCACCTTAGTCTGCTCTTTTTTTTTTTCACAACATCCATGAACCTTTATCATCCGAATTGTCGAAGTATATATGCAGGTAGCAAGCAGCTACCGGAAGGCCTCGACAGTGCATGTTCAGTATTGAGGGTAAGATGACTGAGTGGATGAAAGAAGGTCAATAGAAGGATGACCTTAAGTGACTGGTGGATCATCGCCCAATCACTAAATAAAGGTTAATGAATGTTGTGAAATAAAAAGAGCAGTATAAGGTGAACCAAATGCGTATATGAGACATATACTTACCATCTGCATAAAGGTCTACACCCTGAAGGGGTGGAGATCTTAAGATTTAACAATTGAAGGTTTGACTGCGGTATTCATTCCGCCAAGACTAAACCGGCTACCAAGAGCCGGTACAATAACAATTATTTTTGAGCTTTGATCAGTATATGTTTTCGCCATTAAACTTTATTAATAAAAAGTATTTAAAATGAACATGCATATTTCAATTTACAATTTAAGTATTTTATAATACAATAATAAGAAATAAAAGATACAATTTTTGGTATGTTGCACTTTCACTTGCACTCTTTTTAAAAAGAGGTGGTACAAGCGCTATCGACCTTGGGGAGATGGGCATCTCTGGATCTATAATTGAAAAGCAATAATAAAGATCACATGAACAAGATAAGAAGTTTTAGGGATAGTTAGCAAAATCACTATTATATAATGTCAGCCCGAAAGCTTATTTTCATATATATAACGATAATTACTTAGGAAAAAAAAGAAAGATTATATGAAATAGTAGACTACCTGTATGAAGTAGTGTTTAAGTGACTCTTGAGGTCCTATTAAATGTAATTACACGAACAATAATACTTTAAGAGATATTTTTTAAAAAATTTTCACCATAAAACATGATTACATTTTACCATTTGGAGTAGGGGGCTTCACCCCAAAAGCCCCTTCCCCGTATATTCACCTGTGATAGTTTGTGAACATAATATTGATTGTGCTTTTTGGCTTTAGTTGGTATTTAGATATACATATTCTGTTTAATCACAGGCGGGTCTACGGGGGAGGGGCCTTCGGGCTGAAGCCCCCCCAAAATGGTAAAATATAACCATGTTTTACAGAAAAAAATATTAAAAACTATCTCTTAAAGTATTCTTGTTCGTGCATTATATTTAATAGGACTTCAAGAACCACTTAAACACAATTTCATATAGGTAGTTAATTTCTTTCTTTTTTTTTTTTCAAATTAATTATCGTTATATGTATATGAAAAAAAAATCTTATGGGCTGAAGCCCCCCAAAATTAAATCCTGGATCCGCTAGTGTGTTTAATGATAGTAAATTCTTTATCTATTCTGAGATATGTACCTTAGGAGGTACAAAATGCACTAATGCACTAGCCTTGTGTTTACCGGTTGTGATTACCTTGTGAAAAGTTGTGATTACCGGCAATAACTAAAAAAAATGAAATATTTATCTAAACCTGCCATCCTTCCCTAGATATGTGAGATATCTACCTTATTGGTAAATTCGTTAAAATTAAAGTTACTAATATTATTATATTTTAGGTGTATGTATATTTTGAATTTTTTCTTTTCCATATAATCATATTTATTTCGTTTTGTCTTACGTTTCGGGTTACTCACAACAATAAAATTTTCCCTTACTAAATAACTTGATATATCAAATAATGTATGAAGATATTATATTTTAAATTTATTATTCGTAAAAGATGTTAATATTTTTTTTCAATTTGACTTATGTTCGACGCCCTATTCCTCTTAACTGTATTATTATTCTTAAGTTACTTCTTTTTTTCGTAAGGCGCTGTAGACCATGTAGATCTTTGGTCGCGCGATGTGACCTTAGGGGGAGCAAAGATAGCCTAGAGGGGTTCGCTCAACCTCACGATGTTCTCCAACGAACCATGGTCTCTATGACACAGAGGCAAGCCAATACTAGCTCCATAGTTGAACCTTTCGGGCCATTCTGCCAGTGCTCTTCCAACCGCCCCACTAGTATTCAAGGACAGTGACTAATCAGTCTAGACCCGGAGATTATGGCTGCTTAGAGTCAGTAGGGGCACTAATAAATAATTAAGACCAATATTTATTTCCCTGAAGCAGACTGTCGATGCACCAAGCATCTGAGGAGTTCCTGAAACCACATTAGTGCAAACTCTCTAGTGATAGAACTTTTCACCAAGGATGCCCAAAAGAGGGGGGGGGGCAAGTTGCACCATGACAAATTTTTAAGGTGTTCTAAATTTTTGAGGGGGCACCTTTTTTTGGGATTATGAATTTTTTAGTGAACTTTATTTTTAAGCATTTCTGTTTGTGAAACCAAGGAAATAATGAAAATACAGATCACGACAAGTGTTTATATTTCTTATAATTTGAATATTCATATATTGAAGTTAATTAATAGTACAGCACCGCGAGTTGCCCGGCAACCAGATATATGAAGTTCTGAGAGACAAAAATAAGTACGAGTTCGCGTCCCGTTGTCGGAGGGGATTTTAAAATTCCCCGCCCTCACCCTCCGGCCCGGGGAAATCCCGTATAGCCTGAACGGCGAGGTAGGGAAGAACAAAAAAAAAAAAAAAAAGCCAATGAGGTTTTAAAAATTATAATTAGTCTCGAAAACAAGTTGTAATATCCTGACACCAAACACATGAGGTACACCTACCTGGAACTTGCAAGGACCGACCTCTACCTGGACTATACCTGAACCCTGGATCCTGGGGAAGGATCACAGTAAAAACTAGTAACGGGTCAAGTAACTGGTTTCTTTTAGGGTGTTACCAGTTATTGTGGAGTAATAGGGTGGCGTTAAGAACCATTCTTGCCCCACCCTGAATATTTCTATAAAATCTACTGAGAAGGAAGAAAATAGGTCTTATGTTGATATCCGACCTTGGGCACAGATCTTCTGTTTTCTTTCGGATTGAGGGCTGAAGCCTTGGCCCTACATAGATCATGATGATCCTGGCAGAGCTTTGAACCATGACGAGATGATCTCAACTTAGCAGATGCAGTGATGACATCTACCAACTACACCACTTCATATACAATAGATAAGTTTTATTCCCAACAATGAATTTATCAATGTTAGAATATTTCATGGCAATATAATTTTCAAAACAGTCCATCTGAAATCATGCCTTCACAGTTGATTATTGAATTCATTGATTCTTGTAACTACAATTTGTAATTCTTGTAAATATAATTTGTAATTCTTGTAAATATAATTTGTGTATATTCTTTATTAAACATAGAAATAAATGAAGTTTTTTTAGTAAAAGTTATTTTAATTCTGCCACCTATTTATATCTTGATGATCACAGGTAATGTGTGAAATTAGAAAGCATGATAAACACAAACCAGCCTTTGAGAGAAGAAATCCAATTAGTTAATCATGGACCAAATATATTATAGATCCAAATTTATTTTACTACTTTTTTGTTATTAATTTTTATTAAATATTTCTGGGTAATTATCATCAGTAATTATCCAGTGGCATCCTGAATAAATTTTAAATCCCCCAAAAAGTAACATTTCAGAGTATTTCAACTATAATTTGTAGAATTCTTCTTTCACTTGTTTCATATTCAAGAGGTGGAGGGCAAATTAAAATTTCTTAATGAGAGAGGTTGTAAGTCATACAAAATAATCATCATTTAATTTTATTCAACGATCTATTAAGGAACAATAATTAACTTAATGAAACTGTTCATTATAAGTCTAATCAATGACATTAATGTGTTGATATGATGGACTGACTTGCTTTTAGTGAGTAAATAGAACAAATATGCGTTAAATTATTTACCTGATAAGGGAGATAATGTTGATCCTTGCTTCATTAGAGCTCCGTAAACAAACCAAATGCAAGAACTAAGAGGAAAAAGTTGTTTGTTATCGTTGGGGCAAAGCTTTATTCGTAGCCACATAATCAAATAGATTATAGGGCCTACGGACGTTAATGAGATCAGTATCAATATCCATACCTGTAAGGAAGCAATGGTTTTTATTATGATAAGTTACAATTTTATAAATTATATTTTGTTATCAGACCACACTTTTATAATTTATTTGTTTAGACGGTTTACAAGAACATGTTTGAGACCTATAAAATAACAACATGCTTTCCTCTCCAAGTTGGAGAACATCACGGCGTAAAAATCAATAAACAACTAAGAGGTATTTTAAATAATATAGTAAATAAACCTAATATTTTCAATGTATATATGATGAGGAGTAGAATTCAAAAATCAGCCAACTCTATTTTCATTTTTTTTCTAATTTTTCTAAAATATGAAAATGGGGTTGACAGTCTTTGAAAAATACGCATCATGCTTTCGTTCAAAATCGTTACGAATAACACCTCCAAAATTCTAAAAAACGCAAAACATGGATTTTTTTTTCAAATTGCCCCGTTGCAGCAACCGGAAAAGCAGTTTGACCGCGATCTAGCTATTGCTCACGGGTATTCGGATTTCGCCAGTAAACCCACTTCTCATCATAGGTGACAATCTTCCGGTAAAATCTCATATCAGAAGAGTTTTCAATAAATTTTCACAAATTTCTAACCTCGTAGGTGATTGCTGAGCAGTAAGTTCGTGAGGAATGAGCAGTCTACCGCTTTTTTTCACCTTCCCCATGGAGAGTGGACGGCGAGTAACAGTATCTTTCGACACAACACACTCCCTGGCAAGTTCAGGAGTATTTGTGGACGGATTCGAACCAACAGCTTCCTGCAAAATCTCATCAATATCCATTAATGATGAACGCCCGGAGCCCTTCTTCCTGTCCGACGTCGTATCTACACTGCTAATTTTTTTCAACCAACGCCGCGCAGAGCGTTGATCAAGGACACCTTCCCCTTCATATTTAATAATTTCACGAGTTGCTTCAGCGGCTGTGAAATGTTGTTTCCAGTATTGCCTTAAAATTACGATAATTTAGTAGGACTCTGTTATGTTTCTTCTTTGAAACAAATAACTAAACTGAGGCTTTTTTTCGAAGTCGAAGGGGATTAAACAAGCTTAGAGAATGCTCTAAAGGGATTATTAAATATAGGTTGATAGGTTTTGAAATTTCATTCATCATACTTATTAAAAAGAATGCGAGCACAGCTCAAATATGGGACAAAATTTATTATTATTTTTTTTTTTTTTTTTTATAGAACAATCTAAAAGTCTAGACAATCCTTTCTACCTAAACTGAAATAGTTTTGATATATCCGCATGATAGTGTATTATTCATGGGTTTTAAATATTTATCTTATTTTTTAATGTATATTATTATTTTATTTTATTAGATTTAGAATCTAGTCCATAGGGACCGTTTTGTTCAAATTAGTAACATTCCTTTAAAAATTCGCGAATGACTTCATTTTTTCGTAACCTACAACATTTTTATTTACGAAAAATATTGGAAATAGGGCATTTCTTATCTGGAGGTCGGTAAACATTATTAATTTATAAGGTAATAAAAACTGATGAATACCCATTTTATTTCCACTTGAATCGTTTGATAATTTGATGTAAAAAAGGTGGCCTACAAAAATATTGTGCCGTTTGGCCTGTATAATCTTGTAATTTTTATATATTGGGGGAAAGTTCATGAATACAATTTTCGAACGAATACAAGTCGCATGCAACATTGTACAGACTTAGTGTACTGATATGAACTTATCAGTTAACCCATTAAAGACTGAGTTGATTATTTTTACAGAGAAACGTAAACTGAATGCCTTCAGTTATGAAGGCTCAAAAATTCTCTGGTAATATATACGGTTTATATTTAATGGATATATACGGCAATAATTAGACCTAGAATACAATACAGAAGCGTGGTGTGGTAGTAAATATGGCCACTCAGACGCGAACGCTATGTTGCATTCAAAGAATGGCCTGCATTAGCATTACTGGGACATTCCGCACTACACCTACAAAGGCCCTGAATTGTTATTGTCATTTACTCCGCTATAACTATGGATAATAGATAAGGCGGCTATGAAATTTTAAGAATGAAGGATAATAGACAATGGAAATTAACAGGGACACACACCGGCCAATTAGAAATAGCCAAGAAGGTGGAAAAAGAGTTACCTATCTTACGGTACCTCTCTTCGCCACTTGATAAAAACCTTACCTTAGACAGGAAGGTTAGCTACCTGTATCCTAACGTAATAGACTGGGCACAGAGTTCAGTAGAATCTCAAAAGGACTACCTGCCCTGTTTTACTGATGGTTCATGGAAAGACTCAACTAGTTTAACGGGCGAAGGAGTCTATATAGAGAACCTAAATATAGAACTAAGCATACCACTAGGTAAACTTGCTACAGTATTTCAAGCAGAGGTGTTTGCTATACTTTCTACAGCCACCTGTCTAGAAGATACCAATTGCGAGAATGCTGGCATCCACTATCTTTTCGGATAGTCAATCGGCACAACAAGGATTGGAGTCTCCATACTGGTGCAAGAGTATAAACAGGCTTTGGAGAGACTGGCCTGCTCCAAGGGAGTGGAACTAGTGTGGGTCCCTGGTAGTAGGGTATAAATGGCGGTTCTACTCCCAGAATTTGCAGAGCACTTTTGGACTTTGGACCCTATTCTTACCTTAACCACCTGTACACCACGTGACCAATGCTAATCCCTAATCCTAATCCTTAATCCTAATTTGTATTTTTTCATTTTCAAGTTCGACAGGTCCGGACCTGTCTCAACTGGTCAGATCTTGTCTACCTCAAGTAAATATAAAGTGTAACGACATAAATATAGACATATATTGTGACATTCTACGATATCATGTCTCAACTGGTCCCATCTTGTCTACCTCAAGTAAATATAAAGTGTAACGACATAAATATAGACATATATTGTGACATTCTACGATATCATGTCTCAACTGGTCACATCTTGTCTACGTCTCAGTAAATATAAAGTGTAACGACATAAATATAGACATATATTGTGACATTCTACGATATCATGTCTGAACTGGTCCCATCTTGTCTACCTCAAGTAAATATAAAGTGTAACGACATAAATATAGACATATATTGTGACATTCTACGATTCATGTCTCAACTGGTTCCCATCTTGTCTACCTCAAGTAAATATAAAGTGTAACGAGAAAAATATATATTATTACAAAGGAATATAAATATAAATTGTATTGACGAAAATATATATTATTGCAAACGAATTTATACATATATAGTTAGTAACGATGAAATATATATTATTACAAAAGGAATATATACACATATGACAACGATAAAATATATATATTATTACAAAGGAATATAAACATAAATTGTAACGAAGAAAATATATACTATTGCAAACGAATATAAATTATAACAATGAAGTATATACATATATTCTGATAATTTTACGATGATATATCATAAAATTAACAACAACGTCATCACCCCTCCCCTCCCCACCTCTTCTTCTCATCAACTTTTATATATTGTTTTTTCATAAATATCAAAACGTATTTAATAATCTAAGAATATACATCTCCAATATCACGAATATTGTAATAAATCGAAATTCGATTAATCGATCATAAAACTAATATCATTTTCGAATACTACACCTATAATAACATAATAGTACACTCTAATATCGAAAAAATAAATCATAAAGTTAATATACGTAATATTATTTTCATAACATATCTTTATCAATAATATAGAAGGCTGTGGAGAGTATCTCGCACTTCGAATAATCTTAGACTCCAATATCAAAGAAAGTTTTATTAAATCGAAAATCAATGAATCGATCTTAAAACTAGTATCATTTTCGAATTTTACAAATATAATAACCTAATAGTAGACTCTAATATCGAAAAAAAATAATCATAAAGTTAATATACGTAATATTATTTTCATAACATTGTTATATAGAAGGCCGTAGAGAGTACAGCTGCGTTAAGCAACAAGTCTCTTCACGTTTGAACATGCATAGGCATGTAGGGGGACAAGGTCCACTGCGAAGGAAGCGGTAGGGTCGGAAGAGAGTGGTGGGGGAAACCATCAGCCAATCAGATTCGAGGATACAGCCGGAGGTACCCGTGTGCCTACCCCCACTACTCTCATTCTAGCTCCAGACTTCACAGTGTTCCTATCGTACTTAGTGTCCTCTGCGTTAGAACTCTCTCTCTTTGTCTACAGTTTTGTTTATATTATTAGTTTAGTTTCTTATTATAGTTATCTATAGTGTTGTTTTCTTTATTTCAAAGTTATTTTTGTTTCTTCATACTTTTTTTTTCTATCCTAAGGTAAGTTTTTTCTTTTTATTTAGTTCTCTATTAAAAATTTTCTATTCTGTTAACATTTTTCTTTTTGGGTTTTCTTTTTACATCTTCATATTCTCTTATTATAGTGTTCTTTTTTTTTTCTCTTACTATCATATATATTTATTAAAGTTTAAAGTTTTTTCGTTTCTTGTTTTCTTTATATTTATAGTAATTATTCTTCCTTTTTCTTCTTATTATATATATATTTATTCTAGTTTAAAGTTATTTTCGTGTTTACTTAATATTTATAGTGTTTTTTTTCTTGTCGTTCACAAAGTAATTGTTATTTCTTTTTTTGTTCTTATTATATATATATATTTAAAGTTATTTTCGTGTGTGTTTCTTGTTATCGTTTTTAAAGTTATTATTCATTCGTTTTCTTATTGTTTTATATATATTTACACTAGTTTAGAGTTTTTCTGTTCGTTTTTTTCTTATTATTGTTATATTTTTTTGTTTTAATTCATTTATCGGTCGGAGATAATTTTCTCTTTATTATTATATATAGTTATTCTTTATTAAATATATATTTTACAAAAAATGGAATCATCGTCTAGAACATGTGCTAATTGCAATAAATCGTTTGCAACACATACAGAGTGCATGGCACATGAAGTAACATGTTTTCACAGCCAGGAATTCAAACAACTAGCCTCGTGTGTATGCGCCAAATGTGGCAAATCTTTTTCGAGATC